GCCATGTGTTAACCACCACACAGGTTAAAATATTGCCAGCCATCGTGGTGTTGGAATGCCTTCCAGGAATATATCTAATGGCAATTTAAAGAGCATTTCAAGGATATTTGAAATTCTCTGAAATTTTATAGTTACACTTGAAAGAAACTTAGTAAAGGTTTTCCTCGTATTTGACAAAAATTCTAAAATTTATGTCACTACCAGTCATGAATTGTTTTAGTCATGAATTTTCAAAGCTGAAACTTTTCTGAAACATTAACAACAAAAATTGTTTTTCATCAAACGTGCTATAGCAAAGACTGACTTCTAGCTTTCTACTTTCTATAGAAAATATCACAAAGGTGTTACCATGTGGAGAGGTGATGAGGAGTGTGCTACCCAAAAAGCGGTGTTTCAGGCTCTTGTATAATCACATGAACATCTTTAATAAGATTCTGGATACAAGAATTTAAGTAGTAATTAGTCTCAAAAAAAACAAAAACAAAAAACCCAACATGGGTTAGAGCAGTCCAGGAAAACTTCGTGGAAGCTGAAAGAAATGGAATTTCAGTGGAGCGAATGGAGGCTGGGGGCAGGACTGAGTCAACTGGTCAACCAATGTTGGCAGTTACACCTGATATCAGTTCTGATTGGCTCGGTCTCCACCCTCATTGGTTAGTGCCTGCCATAGCAGTTGGTAAATATTTTGCATATCATCCCTGCCTGTTAGAGTGAAGAATATTAGCAAAGGCACCGAGAAGGAATAATCGTGGCCTGTTTATCAAACGGTAAGGAAATTAGACTGGCTTGAGTCCATCTGGGGGCAGCTGTGGGAAGTACAGCTGTTTAATTAGAGTAAAGCCTATTGTGAAGCATGCTGAATGTCAAGCAAAGGAATTCATACATATTCCTGGAAGCAGTGGGGAGTCATGAACCTTTCAGTAAAATAATAACAACTTTTAAAATTTTGTTTTAGAAAGACTACTGCAGTAGTTGAATGAGGAGAAACTAGGAAGACCTTTTCAGAAGGTGATTGTAATATTTCAAGTAAGAATGATCAGACATGAACTAAGTGCAGAGGAATTTGGGTTTGTGTGTGTATCACTTCCTTAACTCGAGTTTTGTATTATTAGCTTGTAATGGATCATGTATGGAAGACCTCTCGTGCCCCACTTAAAATGTTCTCGTCCCCGCTCCTCCCAGCCACTGCTACAGTGAACAGTTTATCCAACCAGCTTCGCGCAGCAGCACACTGAGAATGCCTCTTCTCACTGCCCATCCCTGGCTTCTCAGATGCAGTGGCTGGCTGGGGTGTCTCAGGCAACCCATGGGGCACTCACTCATACACCCCAAAAATGTGGGGTAACAACATCCTGTGAAAGAATCGTCTTCACTGGGGATGGGAGCTCTTGAGTCAATGCTTCTCCTGTTCTCCCCACCGCACAGTTCTGAGACACACTCCAGAGACACACTTCCTTGGGGGAACCCAGGCTAAGAGAGAACAGGATCCTTCTCATTCTTTGGTGCCACCATAATGGAACCTCACATGCTGTTCTGCCCACAGTAGGAGCTTCAGATCTTCATGACTCACCCTTATGTTGAATAGCTAGTATCTCCTTTGACCTTTTTAATCTTTGTTTTTTTTAGTCTGAGACAGAGTCTCGCTCGGTCTCACCCAGGCTGGAGTACAGTGGTGCATGATCTCGGCTCACTGCAGCCTCCACCTCCCAGGTTCATGTCTCAGCCCCTGAGTAGCTGGGACTACAGGCGTGTGCCATCACACCCAGCTAATTTTGTATTTTTACTTGAGACGAGGTTTCACCATGTTGGCCAGGCTGGTCTTGAACTCCTGGCCTCAGGTGATTCACCCACCTTGGCCTCCCAAAGTGCTGGGATTACAGGCATGAGCCACTGCACCTGGCAACCTTTTTAATTTTTAAAAACAGATTTGTAGAACTGACTCGGTCCCATATACTCTGTAGTAGTTTTAAGCCTGTAGGGTGGTAATTTAGGATACTGGCAAGAGCAGAGAGTTTAGAATCATAAGATCTAGATTTGAGCCTCACTACCAACTAGATGAGTGACCAAGGGCAAGACATATACCTCTTGCAGTCTTCAGTATCCTCGTCTGTAAGATAGGTGTGTTAGTAGTTACCGATCTTCACAATGTTCTTGTATCAAGCAGGACCATGCGTGTGTGGTGAGCATTTGCTAATTTCAGCGCTCAGCTTCCATTTTCCCTTCCTCTTGGTTATGTGATTCCAGTTTTTGTTTGGATGGCTATCACCTTTCCCCAGGGCATCCTATGTTTTACCACCATTCTCCTCTCTACCCCCAGCTTTAGGGTAGGCCCTAAATAAAATATTTTTAATTTAAAGGGACTATTCATCATTTCCCTGGCTATATTGATTTTAAAAAGCAAGAAGAAATTTACTGGCAGATCTGATCACCCTTCTGAGGGAGCAATCAAGTAAGACAGCATGTAGCCCCTGGAGATTGCTAGAAATCATCATGTGGCCCTAAGGAGTGCCAGCCTAACAATGAAGCAGAAAGAGGGATGGTGAGATTACTGAACTTTTGAGTCAAGTCACATTCAAAGCCCATGTGACTTCTGATCTTTTCAGATAAATGAGTTATTAAATATTTTATTTAAACCAGTGTAAGTCAGGCTTTCTCTTCTCAGGGACAGAAAGACTTTCAACTGATAGAGTATATAAGCAAGTTTTGTAACTTGCAAATGAATATAAAACATTTTTTAAATTATTTTTCCACTGTGAATTAGCAAGAATACCTGTGACCCATGGGGCAGGTTGAGAAAAATTTCTAAGCTTTTATTTTAATTTAGTACCCTTTTTTGGAGAAAATTGGAACCGACTGACAGTATGTTCAGAACTAGATCCCAACAAGAATAATTACATATGTAAAAAGAAACAGGCATTTTAAAACCTATACAACGGAGTGAGTTGTGTGTGACACTGAGTGAGAATATGATATATTCTTATATTCAAATATGTATAAAATTCACAAGTCATAAAAGTAAAGACTGTTAGATTTGGCTACATAAAAATACAAAAACTTATATATGGCAAAAAAAAAAGAAAGAAAGAAAGAAAAGAAAAGGAAAAAGAAACCCACAGAGTTCAATGTGAGTAATGAACTGAGGGAAATTTTTGGAGCTTATATGAAAGATCAGTTGATAGCCTCAATATACAAAGAGTTCTTATAAATCAATAAGAAAACAATCTTAATTGGTAAAAGATTTTATCATAAAATTTGAAGAACATATGAAAAGATGCTAAAGTTAAGATCAAAGTCAAGGGCTATCAGGTTTAAAAAGGTTACTAATAATTATATACGTCAAGTTCTAGACACTATAAGAATTATCTCACAGAGATGCATATACAAGAATGATCATTATAGAGTTAAAAAATAAAAACCAATGTTTAACAATAAAAACTGGTAAAATATATTTTGATATAATCTTATATTGAAATACATGTTGGAACCATTAAAAAAGATCAGGTAGGCCGGGCGCAGTGGCTCAAGCCTATAATCCCAGCGCTTTGGGAGGCCGAGACAGGCAGATCACGAGGTTGGGAGATCGAGATCATCCTGGCTAACACGGTGAAACCCCGTCTCTACTAAAAAAATACAAAAAACTAGCTGGGTGAGGTGGTGGGCGCCTGTAGTCCCAGGCTACTGGGGAGGCTGAGGCAGGAGAATGGCATAAACCCGGGAGGTGGAGCTTGCAGTGAGCTGAGATCCGGCCTCTGCACTCCAGCCCGGGCGACAGAGCGAGACTCCGTCTCAAAATAAAAAGATCAGGTAGGCCTTTTGGTGTTACCATGGAAAGAAGTGTGCTATATTGTTTGAGGATATTAAACAACATACAGAATGATCCTATTTATATTAAAATATACATTAACATATGCATTAAAAGTCTGAAGGTAAATGCCAACAATTAACAATGGTTATATCTCAGGTGTAGAATTGCATAGAGGCCGTTTTATGTAAAGCTTTCACAAAATTCAAGCAGTACAAAAATATTTTTATTTTAAAATAAATAAGTGAGGAGATACCAGAGAGAAATTCAGTTTGGGTAATCTGTGACCCCTTGAAGGTAGAATGCGTTCCTCTAGTCCTGGGTTTCTGCATGTCAGTGACGTGCCCAGCAGGTGACAGTCCTGTTGTGTTAGGGAAGGGTGGAAGGAAGGAGGAGGAGGAGCATGAGAGAAGAAAATATTTTCCCCAACCAGGAAACTAGAAATTTCACAGGGAGCTCCAGGGGAGCATAAGGAGTTGCATTTCTAGCATTCACTGTCCTAGAGTTGGCTCCTTGAAGCCTGTGCAGTTGCCATTGCTGTTTTGCCAGGTTCTGGCTGTAAGGCCCAGTGACTGCCTCCTTCCCCACTATTGCCCAACCCAGGGTTTCTGGTAACTGATCTCATCCCTCCTCTGCCCTTTGGACTTGACTTTGGACTAATTTGACAACACATCAGTCAGCCCCATTATGAACAGCTAAAGTCTGATGTGATCCATGAGATTAGGACCTGAGATGAGTTGGCATCTCTTCACTTCCACCCCCGCCAGAAGAAACTGGAGTTTGGAGTCTCTAGATAAGAAGCCACAGGAGGAACGACACAAACAAGCTTTGGGCTCCCTTGTTTCATGTCTTGTGATCAACTTAGATGAGTTATGAGAAAGTTCTCTTGGCTAAATCCTAGCCTTGCACAACTCAAAAGGATCAGAAATTCTCAGTGTGTAATTCTTTAGATAAAAAATGAAGCTTAGAAAACTTATGTAACTTCCTCTAAGCCCATAACAAATTTGCAGTAATGCCAACATGAGAACCCAATTCTCCCCGACACTGTGGACTCCCGACCTCAGGCGCGGCTATTTCCATTCTGCATGCCATGTCTTTGGCTGCTGCATTTCCAGCTGCAGGATTCCAGAGCTTCAGGGATTTGTGAAGAGTGAACTTTGACACCTTCACTCAAAATAGAGAATTGAAAACGAAAATGTAACATTGAATGCTTTTACTGTAATGCCTAGTGTTGTCAATGTCAGTAGTATTGCAGTGTCATATCATCGATGTGATATTTGTTCATTCATCTGTTCATTCATTTATCAACATTTCTGAGCATGTACATCATGCAAGGCCCTGCAGCAGAAAAAAATTAAATAAAACCACACAGCAGTAACAAAGGGGCCATATAACCCAGCAATAATTTTAAGCCTTACATCTTTATTCAGTCAGTCTGGTCCTGTCCCCTAGACCCCTGGCCTTTGGTCTTGGCAATCCTTGTATAGAGAATTACTATATCATTGCACAGCACTCAGTTTACTGGAGACCCTCTAGCAACATTCAATTGCAAACAACTCTTGGAGGCAAACCCTGTGAATATGGTAGCTGTGTATGGTGGTTGCATGGATGTTCTCAAGGATAAAATGCAGGAAGCTTTCACTTTTACATTTCGTCTGCCACTGGAATCTCAGTATCCTTAGCATCACTCACAGTAAGTTCTTCCAGGGAAAACAGTATGCACCATCTAGCAGACACCAAGACCCAATCTTAATACCTTGAACAATTATAGATAATCCCACTGGCTCAGTCAAGACCCTGCAAGTTAATTTTGGTTACAAAGAAAACATGGCTGCGTGTTAGTAGACTCTCAAACTATTATATCTTAGGAACAGTGTGTCTGAAAATGGGCTTTTTTTGTGTCAGAATGGCTATCTGTACATGTTTTGAGGAAGCATTTGGGGAAGCCTGAAGGCACAATGCTGTTGGTGTCATGATCACTGACATCATTGACAGCCAGTTATATTGCTCATGTGGCCCAGCATGTGCTGAGGAGCCTGAGTCTACTGAAGGACACTATGTATTGAAGCCAAGGGCAGAGGGAGGCATGCTACGGTCCCTGAGATCACCTTCAGCACTCTAAAGGGTAATAATCCTCTGCCTCCACCATAGATTTGCATTATCAAGAGAAGATACAGGCTTCTCATCGGCTTTTGGAAAATCTGGGTGACAGACTAGTCTGATGTCTTAAAAAAAGAATGTTGAAGGAAGTCCAACATTTAGATGGAAAGAAAAGGATACTAAACCTCACATCTTACATAAAAATTAACTCAAACTGGACCACAGATCTAAATGGAAAATGTAAACTATAAAACTTTTGGAAGAAATCATCAGAGAAAATGTTAGTGGCCTTGGTTTAGGCAAAGAATTCCTACATAAGATATCAAAAGCATGATCCATAAATGAGTAACCGATAAATTGAAGTTCATCAAAATTAAAAATTTTACTCTGCAAAAGACAAGAGAATAAAAAGACAAGCTAGATTGGTAGAAATTATTGCAAACCACATGCCTGATGAAAGACTTGTACTCAGAATACAATATAAACTTTCAAAACTCAATAGTAAGAAAACAAACAACCCAATTAGAAAATGAACAAAAGATCTGAACAGACATTTTACTAAAGAAGATGCATGATAGGAAGTAAGCACATGAAAAAATGCTCAACATCACTTGCCACTTGGTAAATGCAAATTAAAACCACAATGAGATGCCACTACATACCTATTAAGTAGAATGACATATATATATAAAAAAAACTCATAATATCCAGCATCTTAGCCCATTTTATGTTGCTATAATAAAATACCAGAGACTGGGTAATTTACAAAGAACAGAAATTTATTTCTTACAGTTCTGGAGGATGGGAAGTCTAAGAGCATGGCACTGAGACATCTGGTGAGGGCCTTCTTGCTGCATCACAAGATGGCAGAAGACATCACAGAGAGAGAGCGGCCCACAAGAGAGAGCTGAACTGGCTTTTATAACAGACCCTCCCTTGTGATAACTAACCAACTCCCATGGTAACCCATTAATCCATTAGCCCATTAATCAATTAATTCATGAAATGATTAATCCATTCATGACACAGAGCCCTCATGACCCAATCGCTTCTCAAAGGTTCCACCTCTCAACATTGCCACACTGGGACCAAGTTTCCAACACATAAACTTTTAGAGGACTTTAAAACCATAGCACTAAGTGCTGACAAGAATGCAGAGGAACTGGAACTCATATATTTCTGAGAATGACAACTGATACAGTCCCTGTAGAAAACGGTTTAGTAGATTTTATTAACTTAAACAAAGACTTATCATATAACCTAGTAATCCTATTCATAGGTATAGAAATGAAAACAGAAAAAACAGAAGCTGCGACTGGGACTGGTAGTGCATGCCTTGGGAGGCCAAGGCAAGAGGATTACTTCAGGCCAGGAGTCTGAGGTTGCAGTGAGCTATGATTGCACCACTGCACTCCAGCCTGGGCAACAGAGCAAGACCCCATCTTTTTTAAGAAAACTAAAAAAAAAACAAAAGCTAGAAAGAACCCAATGTCCTTCAAGAAGTTAAGGAATAAACTGTGGTGCTTCCATACAATGGAACACTACTCAGCAACAAAAAGGAATGAACTGGCTGGCATGGTGGCTCACTCCTGTAATCCCAGCACTTTGGGAGGCCAAGGTGGGCAGATCACCTGAGGTCAGGAGTTTGAGACCAACCTGGACAACATGGTGAAACCCTGTCTCTACTAAAAATACAAAAATGGTACGGGCGTGGTGGCTCACACCTATAATCCCAGCACTTTGGGAGGCCAGGGCAGGCAGATCGTGAGGTCAGGAGATCGACACCATCCTGGTCAAAATGGTGAAACCCCATCTCTACTAAAATACAAAAAAATTAGCGGGCATGGTGGCAGGTGCCTGTAATCCCAGCTACTTCGGAGGCTGAGGCATGAGAATTGCTTGAACCTGGGAGACAGAGGTTGCAGTGAGCTGAGATCACACCACTGCACTCCAGCCTGGGTGACAGAGCAAGACTCCATCTCAAAAAAAAAAAAAAAAGAAGAAGGAATGAACTACTACTGATACATGCAACAACATGGATGACAATCAAATGCATTATATTGGAGTGAAATAACCCTGACTTGAAATTCACATATTGTATGATTCCATGATGTGACATTCTGGAAAAGGCAAAAAATATGGGTATGCATCAGAGTCTGTCTGTGTTGCTATATATATCTGAGATTGGGTGATTTATAAAGAAAAGGGTCTATTTGGTTCACAGTTCCACAAGCTGTACAAGAAGCATGGCATGAGCATCTGCTTCTGGGGAAGCCTCAGGCTGCTTCCACTCAAGCAGAAGGCAAAAGGGAGCTGGTATGTGCCAAGGTCACATGGTGAGAGGGGATGCAAAAGGAGAGAGAGGGAGCTGCCAGTCTCTTTTTAACAACCAACTTTCTCAGAAGCTAACAAGAGCTCACTCACCTCCTCACCCAGAGAGAACACTCATCTATTCATGAGGGATCCACCCCCACAGCCCAAACATCTCCACTAGGTTCCTCCTCCCACATTGGGATCAGATGTCAACATGAGGTTTGGAGAGTCAAATATCCAAACTAAGTGGTGTGGAAGGTATATCGGTGGTTGCCAGGGGCAGCCATGGGGAAAGAGTGTGACTCAAAGGGATAATACAAGGAGTTTTCTGGGATGACAGAACCATTCTGTTCCTACTTGCAGTGGGGATCACATGATTTTATGTGTGTTAAAACTCATAGAACTGTATACCAAAAATATTGCTATATTTTGCTATATTTTGATTTTGTTAAAATATTCTGTGAAGAGTATTTCGTGGCAAGACTTCAGCAATACCTCACATATACTCCCATAGGAGAGCAACAGCAGTCATCGACAAAGCATCCTCCCTCCCTCCCATACCCCAGGTTAAACTATTAATATCAACCAAGACACTGGGACATGCTAGCCAGGAAGTCATAGGCCAAGGGTTTCTTCTGAATAAATGGCAACACGACAAAACATAGGATCAGGAGCGGTGGCTCAAGCCTGTAATCCCTGCATTTCGGGAGGCCAAGACAGGTGGATCAGGAGTTTGAGACCAGCCTGGCCAACATGATGAAACCCCATCTTTATTAAAAATACAAAAAATTAGCCGGGCATTGTGTGGGGAGTGCCTGTAATCCCAGCTACCCAGGAGACTGAAGCGGGAAAATCACTTGAATCCAAGAGGCAGAGGTCGCAGTGAGCCGAGATCGTGCCACTGCACTCCAGCCTGGGCAACAAGAGCAGATCTTCTCAAAAAAACAAAAAACCACAGCGTATAGTCAGGGCTGTGGAGTCACGGCATGTAACAGTCATAGAGTCTAGGATCTAACCAGCTGGTGTGTTGCACCTGCCCCGCCTCCAACGAACAGAGCCCAGCACCACTCAAAGACCGGAACATGTTCTTTGGACCTCAGCAGGCAGAATGCCCCACGCTGGAGCATCAGCAAATGAGCTCACAAGGTGCAGTGGGTGCTTCTGAAGCTCAGGTCAGCTGGAATAAATAACGGATTTTCCGCCATGTGTGCCCTGAACAGCACCTTTGAAATCAAAGTGAAAGATGAGCATGATTTAGACCTTGCCAAAAATTACAGGCGTCCAGGCATTTGTCAACACTTACATAACTATACACCAAAAAGAGCAAATGGTGCTGCTGTACGTACATTTAAAAATGAATGAAAAAAAAAAAAAAGCTTTAGGGAAAAGCCTAGCTCAAAGTGTAACTAGGGATAAATGTTAAGCAACTGGCTCATGTCTTTTTATTTATTTGGCCCCAAATTAAAGCAATGAATGGCAAGAATATATACCATGAAGTTGTTGCTTCTTTTGTGGATTTCTTACTGCAATCAATGGTGCTTCTCACAGAAAACACAAGTCTGCAGATAGTTAAAAGATGGAGAGGGTGGGCCGTAGGTCTGACCTGTTAGGAGCCGCAGCAAGAATTGTCCTGCTTATACATTGCACAAGTGTCCTGTCACTGGGGCAGTATCTTCCATGTTTACAAGCTGTTTAAAGAATAAACCCTAACAGTGATGAGCCAAGTAAAATACAGACTGGCAACCACAGATGCTAATGCAACTCCCCTGGGGCTGGTGGGTGCCTGGAGGATCACGATAGCTCTGGGAAAATTACTAAGCAGTCTGGTTTTCCATGAAGCTCCGGGGTGCTCCAAGGTTGTGGTTCCCTGGGCAGGCAGTCACAGTCACAGGGGAGACCTCAGAGGGGCGTTCTCTACAAAAGGGCTGAAAGTGAAGGGAACAAATTTACATAGAGTCAAACAGCACATTCTGTCTCTGTTGATTGTTATAATGTTGTCAGACAACATAAATAACTGATGAACATATTAACACCATAAATGAGATAACACCCAGCACCTCTCTGATTTGTTTTGTCTTCAGGGTTCCCCAAGAGTGCTTGGACCTTCGCTTGCTTACCCAAAGTCAATGCTAGGTTCAGGTATTTTCTAAAGCCCTTTCCTATCTTAGAATTTCAATTCCTGAACTTAATTAGACAATCGTTCATCATCTGCTTCAAGCGCCAAGAAGCTGTTATCTCAGGGTGGCCTCCCTCTACCAGTCTCATTATCCAGGAATCCTGCAGCCGTCATCCTGGAAAGCAGATCCAGGAGCAGCCTTGCCTGCCGCAAACCCGGCTGTCCCTCGGCCTGCTGGCCCCTGTGTGATGTTCTGCCGGGTGCTGAGTGTTGGCTGTGAGCATGTGCGCTGTGGCCATCCCTGAGCCCAGTCAAAGGTCCAGCAGAGCAGCAGCTGCTGCCCCAGCAGAGGAGCACTTCACCCAGGATCACTCCAACTGGGGAGGAAATAAAAGTTTCAAGGCAATCATTGATCCCACCGTTGTTCCCTTCCCGGGACCTGAACCACCTGCTTTCAGTCTGACGAAGGAAGAAGAGCACAGAGGTGTTTAGATACCAATCATCTTTGCTAAGGGCAGTATTGAAAACCACAGGAGAGGACTGCCAGAGAGCCAAAGTTGGCTTCAACACACATTTTTCAATTGCCTCTGTGGGCTGCAGCTGTGAAATGTAGCGTGAGAAGCCGCATCCATAGCACTTTCCAAAAAAACAAGAATGGTCCTGGAAAAACCGGCCAGTGTCACATTGTGATGCTTTCTACATGTTTCTACATAAAACAATGCTTTCCTCTTCTACGTTCCTTTAAGAGGACAGTGGGAGGGGGGACATTCCTGAGACATTTAGTACATATGCTATTCCAGGCAGGCTTCTGACTTTTTTTTTTCTCAGACCCTTTTCTATGTAGGTTTGAGCTCCTAGCCACTCAGCCCCTGCCTTCTGTCATGCCCCTCATTTCCCTGGTGACACTTCTAAAAGCTGTCCCTCAGGTGATGCTTTGCCACTTCAAAACAAAAGATGTACTGCCCTGTGAAAAAGCATCAGAGCTTCTCTCTGTTTCTGCCCTTCTCCTAGAAGATGCCTCTGGGACCCTAGCTACCTTCACCCAGCTACAGTAAGCCCCATACTGGTGAAAACACCCCCTTATTTTATTTTTGAGAAAATTGTAAAAGCCATAAAAGCATACTATGAAAATAACACTTGCCGTACGTTTCTAAAAAATACTTTTCATCAAGTGAAGGACTCTTCTGGGTCTAGTTCGCAATTAATATTTTGTCTGCAGAGATTGAGATGTTATTAGTGTGGTAGGTTACACACAGAGAGATTCTACTGTTAAGCTGCCTTTGAGAAAGGCCTATTTGGTCCGTTTTCATGTATGTATTCATAAACTGCTCAATTCCATTTGTTAATATTTTGTTTGGGCATTTTGCCACTCTATGTATAATTAGGATTGGCCTGTACTTTAATTTCTTGCATTTTTCCTATCTGGCTTAGAAACTGACGACATCTATAAT